GTGATCATTCTTTTTTGCAAAATCGCAGAGGCCTACCTCAGACCAGTTCAGGCTGAGGGTCCCAGACCGGCTCTGTGTATGTTAGCCGCTATGTTCTCTGTTTACTCAGTTGATTGTTTCTGTTCAACCCACTCCTCTTTCCTGGGTCTGAGTTTGTTCTGTCTCTTTGTTGTTGAAGCTGCATTGGTTCTGCAGACTCATGATGAGACCCAGAGCAGATCAGTTTCTCTTTAACCAACCAGAGTGGATCAGTACCTCGTTGACTAATCAGAGCAGATCAGAATCTCTTTGACCAATCAGAGCGGATTAGTACCTCTTTGACCAATCAGAGCGGGTCATTAATTCTGTGATTCTGGTGGAGTTTTTTTTCTCAGTCTGAAACCTGATCCTCCTCCTCCTTGGGTCTGACACAGATCCAGACTCAGACCTGAACCTCGTCCCGCACAGGACCCTTCCTCTAGATCCTTGTGGATGTCTTCTGATGTGTTCCTCAGGTTACCTGAAGGTGTTCACCTGTCTCACCTTTTGAGTCTGTCTTCACTGACCTGTCTGAACTGTGGAGAAGAAGTGAGACAGGACAAAGACAACATGGTGGTCTGTGATGTCCCTCAGTGTCCAGGTAGAAACACACATTACATCAGATTCTACTAGATTCTACTAGATTATATCGGATTATATTAGATATATCAGATTATATTAAATTATATTAAATTATATCAGATTCACTGTGTAGAAACTTGATTCATCCACCAGAGTCAGAGCAGAGAATTCATAGATTGTTACCGCGTACGCGCCTGAGTGAGTGAGTGCGTGCGTGCGTGCGTGCGTGAGTGAGTGTGTTGAGGGAGTGTCCTTCAGCTCTTGTTGACTCAGCTGTATTCAGACAGATAACAGTAACTGAAGCAGGTTAACCCTTTAGTTTTCTGAAGCCTCGATCTCAGTGACGTAGGCTCAGGTCTGCTGGAACTTTCAGACAGTTCCACCAAAGTCCAAACTGTGACTGTGAGAAAGGCCAGAGTACCGCCAGGAACTTTTAACATCGTCATTTTACAGAGACACTCTGAGATCTAAATACAGGACAGACTGAAGAACTGTGACTATAACACTGAGAATACACCTGTAAACACTGCAGTACTTCTATAATACTGCAGTACTTACGTAGTACTGCAGTACTTCTATAATACTGCAGTACTTCTATCAGTAGGAGTTTCATCCCAACAGCCATCGCCGCAGTAAACAAGCTCAAACTGCCTCTCCGCTAGGATGGTCTCTTGGTATTCTGGGGGGGTTCTCATGGCCTGTCCTTGTAATATGTTTTGTGTCATATGGTATGTGTTGTCTGTACTCGTGTTTTGTGTTAGAATAAGACCTGTGAAAGCAAATTTCCCCCTGGGGACAATAAAGATTATTATTATTATTATTACTGAAGTACTTCTGTAATACTGCAGTACTTGTATAATACTGCAGTATTATAGAATAAGAATAAGAATAATCTCTGTCTCTGTTTCGTCTCTGTTTCTGTCTCTGTCCTGATGATCGCCCACTAGCTCTCCTGTTTTTTCAGGCATGTTCTGTCGGCCATGTTTCCACGCTTTAGGAAACAACTGTGTCATCTGTGCCCGACCTCTGACCATTCGGGAAGACGGCGAGGAGGAGGAGGAGCTGTGAGTGTGAATGTTGATGTGCACAGTTAGCAGCTGTTTTTTTTATTGACTGTGAGAAACTTTGTAAAGACTGATACAGCTACGAACATGAGAAGATGAAGATGAACATCTCAGACATGATGGGGGGGGGGGGAATTGTTTGTCCTCAGGAAAAACTGGACCCCCCGCTGACCTTCAGAAGGTCACTGATGGTTTTAGTGGTCCAAACTAAGGGGGCAGTTTTTGTTGTTTCAGAGACTCCAGTGATGAGGAACAGAACCAGGAGGAGCTCAGGTAGGACCATGGCCCTGGTCCCTGAGGAGGTCCACATCTCAGTTTTCCCACTCTGGACCCTGTCAGTGAAGCAGACATGGATCACCAGGAGGAAACAGAACTGAACCTCCAGGACTCCCTGTGTTTTCTCTGTAAATAAAGATTTTAACCTGAGTACTGCTGGTCTTTGGAGTCCCTCAGGGTCCTGTCCTGGACCCTCTGTTTTTTTTTTAAACTTTATTTTTATAGAAACTCTGAACATGTTGAAGTGAACAGTTGGTCACCTCTACATTCATACTGTTGTTGTTTTCACAAATAGAAATACATGTCAGATATCAACAATAATGGTTTAAACATCAGGATGTGAGTTCACAAACACTTTCACATTTATCCACCCGCTGATTTAGTCAGAAGGTCAGTCTTTACATATTCTGTATTTATACTCTATATCCAGTTTGTAACTGCAGAGGAAACTGTCTGTGTCCACCTTCATGTTTCAGCTTTCTTACTGGCCGCCAGTAAAATCTTTAACAGATACCTGTCTATCTCCAGTAAGTAAACTACGATCGTTCCCAAACAGACTGCTGGAAAGGAGCGGCCAATTTCAACACCAAAATCCTTCTTTATTGCCGTGTTGCCCCCTGCCAATATGACTGAATGACTGAATGACATCCCCAAAATAAACAACATGGATCACCCGCTTCACAGCACCTTGATGGACCAAAGGGCCAATGGTGGTGGATGGCTCCTCTCTCTTCACTGCAGGACAGAAAGATTCAGATCTTTTGGACCAGAGCCATTAGACTTTATAACTCTTGTGTAAAAAGTAGATAACTTTTAGAGACATATTATGTGAGACAACAGACAATTTAGTTTCCCTTTGGGGATTAATAAAGTTATTCTTAAATACATAAAAATGACCTGTCAGCTGTTCTCTCACAGTTCCTCCAGCATAGACCCCTCCCATCTCCTCCATTCAAACATTTTTTAACTTTGAGGTTATAAAACATCTCATTAAATTCCTCCAACACAATCTTTCTCCTCAGCGGTTTTTTTTATCCGGCCTTTCAAAGACCGGCCCCCTTTTCATGAAGTCTGGACCTCTGAGGATCCACAGAGTCTGGATCTTCACTGACGGATCTGGAGTGAGGCCGTAAAAATGTGTGTGTGTGTGTGTGTGTGTGTGTGTGTGTGTGTGTGTGTGTGTGTGTGTGTGTGTGTGTGTTTAAGGTGTGTCTGATAACAGCTTCACAGAAACTTTAAAACAAGCGGAGAAAAGCGAACAAACACACACTGAAACACACACACACACTCTACAGCGTGCAGCGCGTGTGTGTGTTTTGTGTGCTCAGTGTGCAGTGGGAGGGCTCTGGGTCTGCAGGAAGCTCTGTAAATTCTCGGTCAGTCTCTCTCTCTCTCACCTCTCCCTCTCTCTCTGTCGGTGTGTGTGTTTCCGCCGTGTGTGTGTCTCTCGGTGATTTTTGGATCAAACCTGCACAGATGGCGACTAAGGTAAGTGGAGCGGCGGTGTGATCGATCATTAATCAATTTGAGATAAGGTCAGGGTTAAAGTTCGAGTCTGTAGGTCTGACAGTTCTTAGACGAACTCGGACCGGGTCTCTAACAGCTGGTCTGAAGGTTTTTGGATCTCTCTGTGCGGGTCTCTGTGAGCCGAGGGTCTGAAGGTGTGTCTGCAGGGAGACAGACTCACTCGCTCACTCACTCCCTCACTCTCTCACTAATTCTCTCTTTCCTGTCTAAAGCCGAAAACTTCCAGGATCCATAATGAGCTCGTTGTTTCGTATTTGCTCCGTAGAACCGCGTTGGGTATCTTATACAGGATCAGCGTATTTGGAGCGTAGCAGCAGCAGCGTAGTAGAGGAAACAACATGCTCACAACAGGTTGTTTTTCCTTTCTGTGGTCGATTTCCTGATAATTTTGATTTATTTCAGTGACTATTGAGCCTCTACAATATGTGAAAAAGCTTGAAGTGATTTTCCAGTTTGTGTTTTTGCAGGTTTCCTGGTGTTTAATAAAGTAAACTATGTTCCTTTATGCTGTGCTGTTACATTCAGACAGAGTTAGCAGTTTTCATAAACATCTTTATTCTGGTTTTAAAAAAAAAACAGGAAAAAAATCACAATTAAAACTTTAAATCAAACAAGAAGTGGACAATGATATTAAAGTATAGCTATAAAGATTTAGAGGTGAAAGAAGCAGGGGTGTGGTCAGCAGGGGCGTGGTCAGAGTTTTAGTCTGGATCGTTGTAAATTTCCTTCCGTTTTTGTGATTTGATATCACCAGAGCCGGCCCAAGCCTCAGTGGGGCCCTCAGCAAAATGTGATTTTGGGGCCCTCTATTTCTGCCAATAATATTGATTGTTAATCATTCACACACCTTCACAAATCTCTGTGATTAACATTCCCTGACATGCAAACAGACCTTTATCTTGGTGTTTTTTTCTCTTCTTTCTTTTTCTTTTCTCTGCTCCTAAAGGATACGTCCTTTTTTGCTCTTTCAATGCTCAGTTCACATATCACAGCAGGAGGAACATAACGGTGGGTGGAGCTTTGACATATCGGCAGTAAGAATCATAGGCCTACATCAGCAGTAGCACTTAAAAAAATATATTTTTACAATAATATATATTTGATCAGATAGAAAACATCACTCAGACATGCAAAAAATAAAAATTGTATTAAAACCTTTGCTTTTCGGGGCCCCATACTGGCCGCGGGGCCCTAAGCAGGCACTAAATGCCTTGGGCCGACTCTGAATATCATCTTAGTCTTTTTTCTGCTCTCAGACCAGGACCTCCTAAATCCGCTGTCTTTAAAGCAGCAGTCAGTGACTCTGTGGTTCCTGCTCTCCTGTTCTCAGATTGACCACTTATGCTGCGTTCACACTGCAGGTTATGATGCAGAATTCAGTTTTTTGTTAAATCCGATCTTTTTGTGTGGTCGTTCACATTACAACAACAAATGTAGCATCTGATGTGAACAGAATGCAACCGTGAAGTGACCAAAGCACAAAGCACAAATTGCTTTCCGCGCCTGTTTGTGTTGTCGAACAATGGTGACATTTGTTGCATATTGATGATGTATAGGTCGGATGAACGCGACCTGAGCGTCCACACTACAGTCACATCGGATGCATATCCGATTTATATCCACATACAAAAGAGGCCTGGGTCGGATTTGAAAAAATCAGAATTGCACTGTTCACACTTAAATGAGAAAATCAGACATGTGTCACATATGGTTAAAAAATTACGAATATCTTGTCTTATATTCTGACAAGGTTCATGTTAAAATAACGTAGATGTCGCCATCTTGTTTTCACCTCCAAATTGCTTTTTTACGACTTGGTAACTGAAACGCTGAAAACTCGTGTGTGACATCATGTTCAGCTCAGACTCTGAGGGAACTTGAACGCAGCATCAGTCCTGGACCGGGAACATGGATGGTGGTCCTGCAGGGTTTGTTAGTCCAGCTCCAGCAGCTAACTCAGAGGATCCTGATCCTGATCTGGATTTTTGGGTCCAGAGGTTTGTAAAACTGCTGACCTCTGACCCTGGTTTCTGATCTGATCTTTGGTTCTAAATTAGGGGTCAGAGGTCAGAGTCTAGCTTGGCGGCGGGTTCTAGTTACTCATGAAAGGGGCAAAGCTAACCGACGTCCAAAACACTGAAAAAAACCTGAACTGTCCCTTTAATGAAGAACCACTCCAAAAACCGCAGAGACCACCCATCTGAACTGGTCTCTGAACTAGTCCTGTTGTCTCTGGTTCTGGTCCTGTTGTCACTGGTTCTGGTCCTGTTGTCTCAGGGTCTGTTTTTGGGATCAGCAGATCTCTCTGCCGAGTGTTGGCTCTGGTCTCTGCAGCCACCGCCCTCTTTCACAACAGACCTGGGTCCTCAGAGACTGGTTCTGATGTCATTCAGCTGTTAAACGGTTCAGCCTGAGGTCCAGGAGAAAACAAACAGCTGTTTGGGACCCCTCAGGCTCCAGGGGCCTCCATAATCTGTCCAAGTTTCAGAGACACGCCCTGGGGGGGGGGGGGGGGGGTAGCCAGTTCAGAGTCCAGGACTGCAGAATCAGTATAGGGGTCCAGGAGAACAGTCTCTGTGAGATCGGGCTGCACGATACTGTAATGGCTTCTGTCTGTCTTAGAGATATTTTTAGCTTTTATTTTGCTGGGATGTAATAATAATAATAATAATAATAATAATAATGATGTAAAAAAAAATAAATAAATAAATAAAAATAAAAAATAATAACTTTATTTCTATAGCACTTTTAAAAAAACAGATGTTTACAAGGTGCTGTTTTACAAGGTGTTTACAAAGTAGTCATAGAGCACATGGAAAAAGACTGATAAAAACAAAAAGCTCAGTAAAAACGGAATTGAAGGAACATTTTTATGTCATAAGGAACCCAGACAATATGAGAACCATGAAATGTAAAATGAGACCATGAGGACCAAAATAAAAAGATAAAATAGTTCAGAAAAAAGAAAATGTCAGAAAAAGGGGGGTCGAGAGCGGAAACAGGATAGTAAATATAAAAGGCAATATCAACGATGATAATAAAATAATTACAGGTAATCCTGATAATAATAGTAAAAATAAAATAGAGCAACAGAAATAAGCAAGAGATAAAACAATAAAAAGCTTAAAAGGTTAATTAAGGAAAGAGTACAAGTATAACAAAAGCTAAAAAGAGAGTAAAGCAGAAATAAGATAAAAGAGGTAAAAGATAAAAGAAAAAATACAAAAGACATCATCACATAAAATTAAGTCTGTAAAAGTGAGTTTTTAAATTTGACTTAAAAGAAGTGACTGTCTCTGCTTTACGCGTTATCTCATCTGGCAGGTCGTTCCAAAGTCAAGAGCTCTGATGGAGAAAGATCAATTACCTTTAGTATTGAGCCTCGACATTGAAACGACCAAGAGGCCTTCACCAGAGGATCTGAGGCTGTGAGTTGGCTCATAAGGTATAAAAGCTCTTAAATGTAGCTCGCAGCGAGTCCTTTGAGTGCTTTAGAAGTAATCAATAATATCTTAAAATCAATTCTAAAACTGACAGGAAGTCAGTGAAGGGAGGCTAAAATTGGAGTGATGTGATGCCGTCGACTAAAACCAGTTAAAAGTCGAGCTGCTGCATTCTGAACTAGTTATTGTGGAAACAGATGAACACAGAACACGTGTTTTAGTCGACATCATCCTTCTTGTACCTGAAATAATTCCAGATAACAGACATTGCTTTTCTTTTTACCAGCAAGTCTTCATCTTTGGTGTTTTTCTCTTGTTTGTTTCTCATTTTTCAATCATTGATGTTGTTACTGGTGTTGTGCTGAGAATTGCATCCACCTTGCAGAAATGCGCACCGCTTATAGTAGAGTGGTCCACATAAATGTACAATTTAAACCCATACAGTTCTTATTTGTGGGGCTAAACAGTGATGAGGAATGTTCCCAAAGGAATTCTCAGAGTTTCTCGAGTCAACACCGGCAGCGCCAGTGACTCACTCCATGTACAGGGGCGTAGTTTCCTCCTCTCTGATTTTGATTGACCGCTGGTAGGGTACTCTGATTGGTAACTGAGTAAAGAATGAATGTGATTGGTGGATTGCTGCACACCACATGCAGAGTCACATGCAGTGTATGTCAGTCAGCTACCCTTGAATTAGATGAGTTCATCCGTCTCCGACATCGCAGGCTCTGACATGTGACTATCGTGCACACATACATTGCCATGACGACGTTCTAATGATGTATCGTGCCCTACTGTGTGACCCTCCTGCAGAGCCTTCAGAACTCAGAGTCCTGAACCTGCAGATCTCTCTGCAGTACTCTGTCTGAACACTAGTTGGCAGTCTGCTCCAGTCCCCTCCTGACCTGAAGTCGGAGAAGATGATCCCAGTGGACCAATCACAGGGCTGGCTGTGGCTTCAGTATGTGGGTCATCTGTGGAGGTTCAGAGTCACAGCAGATCCTCAGACAGTCAGGGATCTGGACCTTCAGGCTCAGATGTGGACAACAGAGACCCTCTGAGCAGAGCCCTCTTTAATGAGTGTTTGTGTGGTTTCTGATGCCCATACAGGACATCAAAGGAACTGCAGTTTAAGCATCACCACCGTTTCTCAGGACAGATAAACTCGACCAATCACAGTCCTTCATGAAGAAAAGGGGTGGGCTCTGGTTGACTCCAGTTTCAGCTGGTTTTGTCCCTGTTACTGTGTGTCTGAATCCGTTTGTCTTTATTGACTCTTTAGTTCTGGTCTGGTTCTACCTGTCTCTCAGACTCCCTATTCACTTTAGCAGGTCCTGAGAAATCCTGGACCGGGTCAGTCTACCTGAGAACCTGGTTCAGTTTTTCCTGAATTCAGTTTAAACAAATAAACCTGCAGGAAAAAAACGAGAAGCCCAAAAATAACTGTTTAAACATTTTAACTTTGTTCTTTAAAACTTTTTAACTTTATGGTTTTGAAACATTTTAACTTTCTATTCTTTAACTTAATAATTTTGATTTTATTTTTAACTTTATGGTTTTTTTTTATTTTTAACTTTATGTTTTTTGAATTTATAACTTTATGTTTTTTTTATTTTAAACCTTATGGTTTTTTGATTTTTACCTTTATATTTTTGAACCTTTTAACTTACTATGGTTACTATGTTTTTTTATAAACTGTTCAAGTCATCCTGCAAACACTGCTGAGCTGATATTCCTGCAAATACTGAAGCATATGTCACCTTTGTGTAGTGTTTGACACACACACACACACACACACACACACACACACACACACACACACACACACACACACACACACACACACACTCCCTGTGGATCAGTTTCACATGAACTTTCTCTGAACCATAAAAAGCCTACTGTATGTGGATCTGAACAGTCCTGAAACTCTCTGCGTGCTGATTGGCTGCTGCTATCAGGTGTTGGTGTAAACACACTCACACAGATACACACACCTGAACACACAACTGAACAGGTTACCTGAGTTTACCTGAAACGGCATCCTCATAAATGCTCTGCAGGTCAATATGAACATTGGACAGAACAAATAAGGACCAATAAAACAGCAGATCAGCGCTGGCTCTGATTGGCTGACAGACTTTCCTCTTATGTCCCACCTTAAAACGGTAAGAGGACTGAGGAGTGACCGGCTTTGGACTCCAGTCCTGGTTTTTGGAGTGCAGGTCCTCCTCCTGACCAGTGGCAGCTGGTAAGAAAAATAATAGGTGGGGCTGAAGGTTTGGAAAACAGAGCCCTGTAGGGGCATCCGGGGTATCCTCCCCCGGGAGATTTTTTTTTTTGTTTTCAAAAGGTAAATGAAGCATTCTGGTGCTTTCTAAGAAAATAATTAAAGAAACATACAGTGTTGACCCACAAAGACAAATGGGGTGGGGATACTGTACTTCAACTTATTAATGGGGCATTATAGCCGAAACACAGCCTACCTACATTCAATGTAATCCTATGATATAGAAACTGACTGCAGCATACTCTTACTCGTGTACATCCACCTGCATCTCAACAGGTTAGGCTACAGCAAAGAAGCACACAAAGACAACTGCAGAAAAATAGTGAAAAGCAGACTCACATTTATAACAAATCAGGCTGCATACCAAAGTGATCAGCCAAGGAAAACAACACAAACATTTGCTTTAAATACAGAACAGCTTTATTACATTTGATATTTCAGTTGAACTGAATTGAAACTGGGTGAACAAATACAGGGTTCCCACTCTTTTATAGAAATCATTTTCCAGGTCTTTTCCAGGATGTTTTCATCCCGCCTTAAAACTTATTTATTTCTACCATTGTGGCATGAACATTGTCTGTTAGCTTTCTTTTTAGTCTGGCTTTTATGTAGTGTCTCACTATGATAAATTTATGGTTTATATTAGGTTTTAATCTTGATATCCTCTACTTTTCTACATACAGATTTTGCTGATTGACTGTTTCAGTAGCCGAAATTATATTTTGCCAGCTTTATGATTTCTTTTTGTCACCATTAATTTACACGGGAAACACAAAAGGGCCTTACTCTTCGGACTTACAGTTAGCCATGCTTTGCGCCTATACCCTACTCTTGAAAATGTCCACGTATATTGTCTGCTCTTCTCGGTGGTCACTTGCTGAGCGGCAACATCTGGTCAATCCGGACCACGGTCTTCCAGCTCTAGTTATTCCTGCAGAGTTCTCCTCCCAAACGCGACCTACTTAATGGAAAGCGCAGCGTTCTCCAGTAAATCACGCGGTAGGGGGTTTGCCGTAGTTATTCCCACGTCCTCTGTCATTAGCAGCCAAGTGTAGAGCGAGGGGCGGACCGGCTCTGAGTAGAGCAGCTAGCTACGTCAGACGCACATTGTAGCTATGCGTCTGTTTGTGGCCAATCTGGTAATGAACGTGCTTACGTCATTCAAATTAGGGACGCTGAGGCGCTCGTCCCTGGCGCCCCTTAAGGATTTTTTTTATGTGGCTAGGATAAGCTAACTTTTTAATGCAGAACTGTGATCTGAGCTTGTGTGAGGGAGCAGAAAGCTTGGGCGCTGGCCCGTAGCGCCCCTAACACTAATGCACAACTGTGATCTGAGCATGCGTGAGACAACAGACGTTCCGAGTCTGCCCCGGCGCTGGGTGGAGAGATCGCTAACGGACTGAAATACACATTTAATGGAATGATTAATATAATAGCGCCATTTCCTTACTTTGAGAATAATTTTCAGGGTGACAGCAGACATCTCTTTTTGCTCATGCAACTCAGGTGGGGCTCTGCCCGCAGTGCCCTTATATACAGGCCGCCACTGCTCCTGACTCTCCTGCGTTCGTCTCAAAGCTTCAAAAGTTTTTAGTTTCCTGAAAATCTCTCAGAGTAAGACGTCTGTCAGGTTCTGCGCTCCTCTCTTTGTTTTTTTTGTTTTTTTGTGTTTCTGAAAATCCCTCAGAGTGATCCATCTGTCAGGATCCGCGCTCCTCTCTTTGTTTTTTGGCGTTTCCAGTTTCCTCCTCCTCCTCTTCATTGCTCAGATTGTAGAGATTCCTGAGATTCCAGCTGTGGGGAGTTTCTGCTCTCAAACCCTCACAGCTGCTCAGTCCTGAACAAACACTCAGATCAGATCCTGATCCCAGGACTCTGAGGGAACCTGAAGGACAAAAACCCAGACCTGAACCCCCCAGACCCCCCTCATGAAGGAAACTTTCAGGAACTCCGGGTTTCCTCAGATAATCGTTCACTCATGATCAGAAGAGGAATTTTTCAGAGACACTGTGGTCGTGGTTTCAGGACTTCACCATAATAACTCAGTTACTGGTTGTACTGGCTTTACGAGTTAGTTTAGTTATCCTAGGTTATACTGGTTAGTATGGTTTCACTGGTCAGGGTGGTCACTATAAATCTGGATCATAGCTGATCCATCAAAATGCTCTCTCTCTCTCTCTCTCTCTTTTTCTCTCTCTCTCGCTGTCTCTCTCAGTTTCAATGAGCTTTATTGGCGTGTGTGTTATAATAATAACAACAATTGTGGTAATAATAATAATGGTAATAATAATAATAATAAAGATAATCATAAAATAATACCAATTCTACTTCTACTACTACTATTACTACTACTACTACTACTACTACTAATGATAATAATAATAATGATAATAATAATTATAATTTTTATTTTTTATTTTAATTAATTTTTTTAATGATTACCGTTCTTTTTTATTATAATTATGATAATTATAATAATTTTTTATCACATAATAATAATAATAATAATAATAATAATTATTATTATTATTATTATTATTATTATTATTATTATTATTATTATTATTATTATTATCATAAAAATAAGTGAAATAATAATAATAATAATGTTGTAATAATAGTGAATAAATAGTGTTATCATGTTTGACCCCCTGCTGTGTTTTTGCCCACCCCCAGTACTCAGACCTGGAGCTGGCCATCAACTCATTGGTCACTGAGTTCCATAAAGCCGCAGATGATGGACCAACCATGAACACCACCCAGTTCCAGACCCTGCTGTCTAATCAGCTGCCGACATTTGCCAAGGTACTGTTCACTCTGACATCACAGGGTCTCATCCAATCACATCACAGCTCCATGTTTGGTTCTTTTTAGACAAATGTTGGACTCAGGGGTCTAGACTGGGTTCTGTTTGTAGTCTGAGGTTCAGAAACTGAGACCCAGAACCACAGTCAGGTCCTCTGGGGCCGCAGTGAGACTCTTAATGCTGATTGGACGGTGAAGTCTGAGCTGGAGGCGTTTTATTGGAGAGTAAACTGAGAGTCTGTCCTCGACCAATCACAGCGCAGATCACCTCTGTAGATGTAGTCTTTTAGTCTTAGTTTGGACCCGTCCCTTATGTTTGACTCTATTAACCCGGCCCACATGCTGACTCTCTTCCTGTCCCTGTCTCTGTCTGTCCACAGACGGTGGAGGGGGACGAGGGTCTGGGTCAGGTCCTGCAGCAGATGGGGGTGGAGAGCGGTCAGAATATCTCCTTTGACAACTTCTGGACTCTCATCAACAAACAGGCTGTCCAGCTCTTCGGATCCACACACAAGGAAAGGAACATCAAGTGCAGCTGCCTGCTGCAGTGAGACCACCAGAGACCACCACAGACCGCCACAGACCACCTGAGACCACCACACTGTGCTGACCACAGGGGGCGCTGCAGTACAAGAGCCACGCAGGGAGTTAGTGAGAAAGAGAACACGTCAGCAAGTTTTTAATAAATGTCAGAGTCGAGTTTTAAAATCAGTGACTGAAAAAAATGAAAAATATTTCATATAAATGAACCTGTTTAAATCTGACGGAGGTGAGGAGGACCAATGTGAGGACTGAAGAGAGAAAATATCACAGCTCAGAAAAATCTGAGAATAAAAGAGGAGAAAAAGATCCAGAGAGACGTGAAGATGTCTGATCACCAAGGTCCGCGGGAAAAAATCTGATTAACGAGACAAAACAAAAAACCAGAGTGAAGTCAAAGTTTTAAAAAATCGTCCATAAAGTCACGTCTCACCTCTTTGTGGATCTTAAAGGGATATTCTGGTGTAAAACTAATTTAGGGTCAAACACACCATAACACCAAGTTAGACACCCCCTCCAGAGATGAATTTTGCCGACCGCTTGCTTCTCTAGTTATACCAACTTTAGTAACGATAGCAGGATAGCAATACACAGCGGTCTGAGGAGCCATAAACAAACCTTAACCAAAACGCCCCTCTATAGCCACAAATAATGCTAAGAACAGCACTTAACTTCATCAACAGTATATATAGGGTCCCAGCCATAGTACTATATTCAGAGTTGTTCTAACTCCTAAGAAAACATAAACCTAAGCGGGGGCGTTTCTCCACTTCTGTAGTCTATAAGCTGGGCCAAGAAACTTCCACTGTAGTAAAATGAAAAGGTAAAGGTGTTTTTATTGAGCCAAATTATCAATAAAATCATGATTTTGTTAACAGGTATAAATATATGTGCTGTCAAGTTAGTATATTTGAACAAGAGCACAGTGAAGTTAAATCAGCAAATTTTTCTATTAGGTTCTGTTACTGAACAGAACAACACCATGTTCTACTGAGGTTGGTACATATAGGGTCCCAGCCATAGTTCTAGCCACCAAACATCTTTTTAACTTTGAATAATTTCTTTAGCAAAGAGACAAAACACAACTCACCTACTCTCTTCCAGCAGCCGCTTGTTTGTAGCGAGACCTCAGGCCAGTCCATTACGGACTACAGCGGGGTGACGCAGCTCAAAGAAGAACATTTATGATTGTTTCTTCTTGGAAATACAATCAGACTGAGACGCTAAGGCAGAAGAACTACCACGTCTGCAAAATGATTAATATGGTGATTGTTACTTTAAGGAAATGATAAAGAAATGGTGTTATGGTGTGTTTGACCGTAACTTAATTTTACGTCGGAATATCCCTTTAAATCCGTTTTTATCAAAATCTGGATTTCTCTGTTCTCAAAGTTCCATCTCTCTAATTTCCCGCTCAGCGAGTCTTACCTGTGACCACATGTGGGCGTGGCTCTGTAATAGAGCTCCAACCTATTAGAGCAGAGCAGTGTGTTTTTAACTCCTCCCCCCACCCATATTAAGACCTGCGATTGGTCAGTCTACCTGAGGTCAGTAGGATGTTGACGGACCGGTCTGAAGACCCCAGGTTCCTGGTCTGGTCCTCTGTCCACAAGCTTGAAGAGGTTCAGGTCCGATTTAGAGTTAACAAAATAAAACATCATTTTATTTTGAAAATCCAAACTTAGTTTAACCTCTGCATGCTTTTATTCTTACACCATACAGAACCTTTAATCAGTGTTTTTACTAATGCAGCTCATCCCGTAACCATGAGGACACATAATCCCGTAACCATGACAACACATAATCCCCTCACATTAACAAAGTCTTTGTTGTTTGTAACTAACATGTGACCTCCATATTTTTATAAGTCAGCTCCATATTTATGTTTTTGTTTCTCCATGACAATAAAACTTTTTTAAAACACGCTTCCTCCTCCTCCTCCTTCTTTTCCTCCTTCTCCTCCCCCTTTCCTCCTCCTTCTCCTTCTCCGCCTCCTCCTTCTCCTCATCCTCCTCCTCCACCTTCCCCCTTCTCCTTATCCTCCTCCTCCTTCTCCTCCTCATCCTCCTCTTTCTCCTACTCTGCGCTTTGTGGGTTCAAAGGTCAGTATCAGGATTAAACAGGATTATTGACAATTCCTCCTCATATGGTCTGGTAAACGGTCTCTCAGAACCACTTTCGACTTTATTTAGGATCACATATAAGTGGATCTGGTCTGGGAACTCCTAAAATCCCTGAGATGGACCTCCTCCTAAGCTCATGAAGACCTGAGACCATAAACTCAGTAGAAATCTGTTACAGCTGAGGCTCAGACTGTTGGACTAAAGTGGAGACGCCCCCTGCTGGACATCAGCGAGAATGCACTTCATTACTGTGTTTGATGATGAACTAAAACCATCAGAGACAGTCCCTTATAACGGTACGAGTTAATCAGAACTTCATTGATAAAGGAGCCAAACTCCTGATTATAGTTTTATTGTGAATATTATCATATTTTTATTCTCTTTCGGATTTAATCTCCACATTTTTAAACCTCCTCATCTGAAGAAGGACAAAGACGATCAGTGTCTCCTCCTTAAGGTAAATAAACCTGTCATGAGGTCAGAGCTCAACAAAGAAAAAAGGACCAAAAATACAGAAACAAGGATTTATTAAAGCAAAAAGGAAAAAGAAAAAGTCCAACTAAAACTGTTCAAACACACACACACACACACACACACACAATGAACCAACAAGAACAGAAAGAAGGCAGGGACTATATACACACAAACCGGTAAACAAGACACAGGTGAGATTGATGAGAGATTAACAAAGGAGGGAAAACTAGGAGAGTCAAACTACAACGCAGTGAAGTTTTTTTTAGAATAGTTAATATAATAAAATAATAAAAAATCAGAGAATAATTTCACAGAATAATTCAAAAACATTTCATTATAATCAAAACACAGAGAAATAAAATTATTAAAGTACAAAGAAGATAAATTCAGATCAGTGAACACGCTCTAATTATGACCTAATAATGAACCACATGACGACAGCCACAAGGGGGCAGCTTCACCTCCACCCTGACTCCGCCTTCCTGCAGCTTCACCCCCAGCTGAAACACAGAGAACAAACCTGAGGTCTTCACCAGGTAACCAGTCCGGTCCACTTCAGCCCAGTTAAGTCCAGTTCAGTTCAGTCAAGTTTAGTTCAGTCCAGTTCAGTCCAGTCCAGTTCAGTTCAGTCCAGTCCAGTTCAGTTCAGTCAAGTTTAGTCCAGTCCAGTCCAGTTCAGTCCAGCTCAGTCCAGTTCAGTCCAGTTTAGTCCGTTCCAGTCAAGTTCAGTTCAGTCAAGTTTAGTCCAGTCCAGCTCAGTCCAGTCCAGTTCCGTCCAGCTCAGTCCAGTTCAGTCCAGTTCAGTTCAGTCCAGCCCAGTCCAGTTTAGTCCAGTCAGGTCCAGTTTAGTCCAGTCCAGTTCAGTTAAGTTCAGTCCAGCTCAGTCCAGCCTGTTCCAGTCCAGCCCAGTTCAGTCCAGGCCATTCCAGTCTAGTCCAGTCCAGCTCAGTCCAATCCAGTTCAGCCTGGTCATGTCCAGTTCAGCCTGGTCCAGTCCAGTTCTTAAGTCTTCACTGGGCTGGAAAAACAAAGCTGAGGCTCTCTGACCTGCTGCAGGATGGCGAGTTGAAGCTGCAGGTCATTCAAGTCTGCAGGTCCTCTTAATCCCAGATGAAACATCAGAGATGTCACCACAGATCTTCTGACGGCTGAGGTCCAGTTAAAACACAAGAAGGAGTTATGGTTCTGGAGAAATCACTCCTAGTGAGTAACTGTGATTTAAGAAAGAGAAACCTGATCAACTGATCAACCTGTACAAACTGGATCAAACATGTTCACACCAGATCAGACCGGATTAGACCGGATCAGACCTGGATCAGGACCCACCTGTGTAACACATGAAGAGGTATTTCAGATGGCAGCCCTCTGTATGCCACGCCCCCAAATACATCATCACGCAGGCTGTGTCTCATTTCAGAGACCGCATCAGGATAAGCTCACTTAATTGCGCTTAGCTGAGCGCACTGCCGTTATGTGCCGTTATGTGGACTTAAGTACCCTGCCTGTGTCATTTCAGAGACCGCACCGTCAAACGGCGCATTTGAAGCGTGCGTGAGGTCATCACGCGGCACGAACGGTGTCCCATTTGGCATGGAATGCTAAGCGCGCTTCAAATTCGGTCTAAAAACCACACTGCCCCCGCCCCTTTTTCAAGCGTGCATTTATGCACGCTTTCGTGCCGTTGGTATCCCAGAATTCTTGGCGTGCCGCTGCACAGCTGCGCATTTCGGGTTAGAGGCTGGACTCACTTGGAGACGCAGCGCGTCTTCAAAGAAAATACAAGAAATCCCAAAACAGCAGACAGTCAGCTCAGGCTGTATGAGCGCATGAACTCTGAACTCACTAAAATCTGTTAACCAAACATTGTAGTCTTTCGAGATGAACTGCTACAACAATCAAAAACATTAGAAATAAGAAAGCTGACAAAACTACAGCAGAGTATCAGGAGCACATCGAGTTTTTTTTTTCTTTTTAAGATTTAGAGATTAAAGTTGTAAATTTAGGAGAATAAAGTCATAAAGTCATAAAGCTGCTTTTGTGGAGGGGGAAATGACTGAAGCTGGTCATCTGCAGGGTTATCTGTGGATGCATCAGTGGGTCATCCAGAGAGTTTTTGTGGTTTCTGAAGAAACAATCCAACTGATGATGATGAACATTTGTGATCCAGAGGGAGTCGAGCTCCGACGAGCACCATGTCTCTGACACCGACGGTTACCTACACCTGCAGAGACACCAACACCTTATTATGGCAGATGGATTCATATCATAAACTAAAGCTCAATGCCATTCACGGATATTTTCGGCTGCATAAATGGATATATCCTCAGCATATTCATTTCTGCCTCCACAATAGCAGCAGTTACCTTCAAGTACACCTGTTTTTATCCCCGTGGAAAAGATGTATCTCTCTATATTCTTACATGCTGATCAGTATTACATTGTCATAAGTATAAAGACTTAAAAAAGAATATGCTGGGCGTGTGATGAGCAGCATAGGGCTGCAAAATGACCAACACACAACATAATTATTATGACCCTGTTCGGTTATTCCTTGGCAAATACATAATTTCCCGCCTACATCTTTTTTATGTACAATGATAATTTCAGAAACCATCAGGTAGTTCTGCCTGGTGTAGGCTGAAACCATAGAGCACTGCCATGCAAGAAGACAAAGGCATCTTTTCTTCAGGGCAGCTATGTACTTCCGAATGGATTTTCAACCACAAGTAAGAATTAGTAAACCTCACATATACATTGTCAACTGGAAACTCCCCCGTTTGTATATTCTGAACCATGTGCTCTCTACCAATAATGATTTTTATTAATCAGAGGTCTGTGCTTAATATGAGTGACCACTTTGATGATGCATTCAGAGATGAGAATGTAACCCACTACTGAGTATGTACACGTCACTGTTGGACCAGTTTCTAATAACTAGAAAACAAGAGACACTAAGCTCTGCAAGACAAGTGCAATTAAAAGACACCACACAAGGATATAAGGTTTTTCTTCTTTTAGTAATGAATTGAAAAGTTAGAACTGTTTACAAATGAAAATTAGACCTTTTTAAATAAAATAAAAAGTAAATTGTCCTTCAAAAAGATTGAGAAAATAGTCCTTTATCCAAAAGTGGAAAAATAAAGAGTTCCTTTAAGTTGTTGTTCAAAAAGAAAAAATAGTTCCTTTCAAATAGTTCCTTTCAAGTAGTTCAGTTAGTTCAGTTCAGAACAGTTCAATCCTTGGTTCAGTTGTAAAGTGTCAATTCAAGTAGTCAATAAGTCGAGTCAGTCATAGTCAGTATGATGTGACTCTAGTAGGCCACAATCCTACCAGATATGCCATGTGCAATGACATAGAACAGGATCACACTCAATGGTTGGGTTGGCTCGCCATCAGATGTAGTCGACGAATCCTCAGCGAAATCCAGATCCAGCTCAAAAACTTGACCGAGACGATTCAAACAAAAAGAAAAACATTCGATGAAACAAAGCTTCTGGTCTTCAAAACATACAGCAACATACAGCGCTGGTCACTCAATACTCCAAAAAGGAACTTATAGTTCAAAACAACTTAGAATTACTTTCTTTCAATAGTTTCTATCTCCGAGGAAAATGGATGGCTCTGCTCTCCGGCTCCCGCTAGCTCAAAAAACAGAACGGCTCCACAGGAAACCGTATGCCTGGAAAACGCACGTCAAAATAAAAGCACACATACGTAAGAGTCACAGTAAAAGTACTGCTATATCAAATACATGTAAATCATGTTTTTAACAATGACAACCCATCATTCATGAATTGTTTCATCAGAATTACACCTGTTTATTATCCCTTTTTACTATTTATGCTTTTTATCACTATTTATTGTACTTTCTTATTATGCATTTGTCACCTGGGTTACACCCTCCCTCTCTAAACTGGCATGAGTCCCTTCATGACATTTTCCCGTGGGAAAGGGTTACCCTCAAACGTTTCAACTAAAGCATTGTTGAAAGCTTCAAGAATACTGTGGGCAAAAGAAATAAATGGTTTGCCTAATTGGGGATAGGTAAACTTTGCGGGTGCTCTTCTCTGACGTTCAGATCTACGCAATGCGTCATGATCTGGCTCACTAACAGTATCTGGACTCTCTACAGGACTTGACTCTGTAGGACAGGGTGTGTCAGTGTTGGGAACAACTGGCAAGTCAGATACAGTCAGTAATGGGGTTTCAGTGTCAGTCTTTTCATGTTGAACAACTTCTGATTCTACAGTGTCATTCTGCTCTTGAGAAATGTTAGTTGTCGGCTCACTTAAAGTGATTGGTTCTTCTTCTTGATCATTCTCTGTTTGTTTTGTTTCTTCAGGTTCAATGGATGACTCCGGTTCCGCATTCGTGTTGCTCTGGTTCGAAGGCAATTCTTTTTCTACAGGCTCTACATCAACTGAATCATCAGGTGGAAACTGAATAAGGCTGGGTTCTTCTTCTGCAATAGGAGAACTTGGGATATCAGAGCATTGAACTTCAGGAGTAAGTTCAAGTAAGTTTTCAGGTATAGTTTGAGAATGAGTCGGAGGACTTGATTCATTTCCAGGCTGTGTAACATCTGGAGCTTTTTCAGTTGAATGCATCACTTCGGGACCAATGATTCTTGTCTCTACCTCAAAACGTAGAGGATATGACAGCGGATAGTCCTCTTCATCAGACTCGTCAGGGTTTTCAGCTGGCTGAGTACTTTGTCTGGTTCTGGGTCTAGAGACTCGTACAGGCTGTTCAGGCTCTGCGTCTTCTTCAGCAAGAAACCCGCAGGGCAATAGGAGATCCCTGTGTAGAGTACGGGTGGGTCCGTCCTGACCAGCAGGACACACCGTGTATACTGGCAACTCTCCTGCTCTCTTCTGTACAACATACACAGTGGGCTCCCATCGATCAGCAAGTTTATGCTTGGTGCGAAGTCTGAGGTTACGTACAAGAACTCGATCGCCTACTTCCAGACATGACTCTCTCACTCTCATATCAAACCTCTTTTTGTTCTTGTCAGCTACTTTCTTTGCATTTTTAATGGCAATGTTGTAACTTTCCTTCAAGTAGGACTTCAGATTTTTCACGTACTGACAGTGTGACGTGGATGAGGCTCCTTTGACTGGCAACCCAAAAGCTATGTCGATGGGCAATCTGGGCTGGCGCCCAAACATGAGCTCATACGGAGAATACCCAGTCACCTCATTCCGAGTACAATTGTATGCGTGTGTTAATGGCTTGACATACTCGCGCCATCTGGTCTTTTCTTTCTCCCTCAGAGTACCCACCATACTCAGCAGAGTACGATTGTAGCGCTCTACAGGGTTACCTCTGGGGTGATAGGGACTTGTTCTGACTTTCTTTGTACCAACTAAGGCACAGAGCTCTTTGACAATTTGTGACTCGAAGTCACGGCCTTGATCGCTGTGTAGGCGCTCTGGGAAGCCATAATGGATGAAGAATTGCTCCCACAGGCAACGCACGACAGTGATGGCCTTTTGGTCTTTCGTGGGTATCGCTACAGCATACTTTGTGAAATGGTCAGTAATTACCAATATGTCCTTTGTGTTGTGGCTGTCTGGTTCGAGGGACAAGAAGTCCATACAGACCAGTTCCATGGGTCGGCTGGTTTGGATACTGACCATCGGCGCGGCCTTCTCTGGCTGATGTTTGCGTTTGACACACCTCGGGCAGGTTTTGACCTTGGACTCAACATCTGCTGACATCTTCGGCCAATAAAACCTGGACCTGGCCAGCTCAAGGGTGCGCTCGATACCGAGATGACCCATCTCATCATGGAGACTGGCAAGTACGGATGACCTCAAAACACATGGAAGAACAAGTTGGTACTCTGTCCTGTCTTCACACTGTCGCTTTCGGTACAACAGTGAATTCTTGACTTCAAGGCGGCTCATCTCTCTCAGCATAAGCATCAGCTCTGGTGAATGTACGCCCTGTTGAGGTGCAGGCTCACCAGATTCAAGTGCCTTGATGATCACGCTGATTGAGGGATCTTCTCGTTGTAGTCTGGCTATATCACCCTCGCTGTGCTGTGGAACAGAGCAGAGGCCTTGCAACTCTGACTCCGCATCCTCAAACACGGGCGGAATGGCATCAGGGTGGATAGCGAGTGACTCCACGAGACAATGAGACGAAGACTCCTCATTCACTGCTGCATGGTACTGACAGGTGGCCTTGACAACGTCCACAGGAGTTAGATGGTGGGAGGTGAATTGATGGATCCGCAGACTCTCCTCTTGTGAGCAGTTGTCATTCACCAGTGGTCCGTGAGGCCTCCTTGACAGACCATCAGCGTCTTGGTTTTGCTTGCCCGCACGATACTGGATGTCAAAAGAGAAGGTGGACAGGGCAGCTAGCCAACGATAGCTGGTCGCGTCTAGCTTCGCCGTGGTAAGAATGTACCGAAGCGGATTGTTGTCAGTCACAACAGTGAATGAATGCCCATATAAGTAGTCTTGAAATTTTTCAACGACAGCCCATTTTAAGGCTAAAAATTCCAACTTATGCGCTGGGTATCTTGCTTCACTTTGTGACAGGCCACGGCTGGCGTAAGCTATTGCGCGCTTCTGTCCATCCTGTTCTTGATACAGGGCAGCTCCGAGTCCCGTAGTGCTTGCGTCTGTATGCAAGACGTATGGCAACTCCGGATTAGCAAAACCCAGGACTGGCGATGAGGTGAGTCTTTCAATTATTTGTTCGAAGGCAATCTGACAAGCTGGTGTCCATCTCTCTCCGAATGGCTCCTTCGGATGGAAGTACATCACGTCAGTCTTGGTTTTCTGGGCGGACTTTCGTGCTGGTGGATATCCCGCAGTTAGCTTGGTCAGCGGTTTGACTATTTTTGAATAATCCTGCACAAACCTCCGGTAATAACCAGAGAAACCGAGAAAAGAACGGAGTTCTTTCAAGGTACGGGGTCTCGGCCAAGTCTTGAGTGCTTCGATCTTCTGGGGATCGGTTTCCACTCCTTTCTGTGAGACAATGTGTCCCAAATAACGTACAGATGTTTGAAAGAAGCGGCATTTCTCTGGAGATAACTTGAGGCCATTCTCCCTCAGTCGATCCAGGACTTTGGTTAGACGAGCCTCATGTTCCTCCAACGTTTGGGAGAAGACTATGATGTCGTCAAGGAATACTAGCACTTCACGCAGATGGATATCGCCCATGCACTTCTCCATTAAGCGCTGGAACGTGCTTGGAGCGTTCGTGATTCCTTGTGGCATACGATTCCACTCCCAAAATCTGAGGGGACATACAAAAGCAGTTTTTGGTTTGTCATCTTCGTGCATCTCAATCTGGTAATATCCGGATTTCAGATCCATCACGGAAAACCACTGTGATCCGCTTAACGCAGAAAATGACTCTTCAAGGTTCGGTAACGCATAAGCGTCCTTGATCGTTTGCATATTCAATCTCCTATAGTCGACACATAGGCGTGGGTCGCCATTCTTCTTTTTCACTACGACTATAGGTGAAGCATATGGGGATTCTGATTCACGGATGATACCCGCTTCAAGAAGGGTTTGAAGATGTCGTCTCACAGCGTCGTAATCCTTAGGATGGATAGGACGGGGTCGATGCTTAAATGGCGTCTCATCCTTCAGTTTGATACGATGTTTGACTTTCGTCGCGTGACCAAAATCGAGGTCATGATGGGAAAACACATCAGAGTAGGTGTTCAGTGTCTGTGTTATTCGTTCCTTCCATTTTGCAGGAAGTGGAGAATTTCCGAAATCAAAACTCAGGCTGGCATTCTGCTGCTCTTCATGACAGGAATGTTGCTGACTGGAGCAGACAGTGGATGACAGGGGCAATTGACTGGGGCTACAGGTGTTGTGAGTCTGGCTGATCTCATGAGGTATAGCGAGTTCTGCAATGACAGAGTTACTTGGCAAGACAATGTCATGGCTGGTTTCATTTCGCAGCAAAACTGGCACCTTGTACGGGGAACGTGCCGGAATAGAGATCAAGCAGCTGTCAATAAAGATTCCCCCTGGCAAGGACGAGATAGAGGGCTCTTCAAGTACTGCCCATCTCTCGTTGTTCGCTTCACTTCCAAAAACAAAGCCTTCCAAGACAACCTTCCGTCCGGCAGGGACGATACCTGGTTCATGATGACTTAACTTCACAACACCAATCTGACCCTCTGAGTTTTGTTTTCGTCTGAGCTGCAGGGTTTTCAGGACTTGTTGGTAGCCACAGTATGTGTTGCTTACCTGAGGACTTTCATCACAGAACTGTTCATAGAGGGGGTCTAGAGTATTCGTACCAATTAGCACAGGCACGCTACTGTTGGAGCGAGTGTCTGGTACTATCAGGGCAAGAGTCTGTACTTCAGGTTGTGAAGCCATAAATTCTTTAGGGAACTGCATACTTAGCTGTATGTAGCCTAGGTAGGGGACTGCCTGGCCGTTTGCACCTTCAACGTCCAGTATGTCACTCACTGGGCGTATCGGGTGTGAATCATAGTAAGACTGAGACACAGTCGTAACTTGTGACCCAGTGTCAAGCAATGAGTTACATTCAATTCCATTCACTTTCACATTTGCTGTGCTCTTTTTTCCTACTAGGCCTCTAGGCAGTTCTCCTGTTCTTACAGCTCTGTGTTCGTTAAGTGTCACTTTTTCCTTGACTTTCTGTGTCGTGGTGGGACTGTTTGTCAACTCTGTTCCTATTTGTCCCTCAATAGAAACAGTTACTTGTTTAAAGAACTTTCAACAACAGGGTTTGCTTTTTCCCACGCTGTCTGTCTTTCTTTCAGCTCTTTTCTCTTTGCGTTAACTAATGCAGGGTTTGGTGTATCAGTGCAGCTGGTTGCTATATGCCCATCCTCACCACATTGGAAACAATACCACGGTCTGGGCTTTTTCGGCGTGGTGTCTGGTTTTTGTGCTTGGCTTGTTCTTTTGGTGTAGGTTTCGGCTTTTTCTTTCCAGCTTGGGGTTTATTTGGCGGTTTGTCTTTGGGGTAGGAAAGCGCTGCAATCTGAGCTTGGAGGTCAGCTATCTGCTTTTGAAGCTGATTCATCACTGATGGAGGAGTTTCAGATGGACATGGTAAGTCATACTCGTTGTTAGGTTCATACAGGTTCTGTGCTTGAGCTTGAACTTGGACTTTGGTCTTTGTGAAACCGAGATGCTGTTTCATTCTGTTCGCTTTGGCTGTTTGTTTATCTTCTTCCATGCGCAGGAGCAACAGCAGCTCTGTAAAGGTGGGGGGGCTGCTCCTTTCGCTTTTCAAGCTGAAGTGTGCTGATCAAAGTATTATTCCAACAGCCTCTGCAGAATTGTTTCAGAAGCTGTCTGTCTGAATCAGTTGGTGATATGGCTTTCACCTTCACAATCTTGTTCAGAGCGGTCTGAAGACGATGAAGATAACCGGATGGCTTCTCACCGGAGTTCTGGTTGATGTTAAGAAACTCTGCAAACAGATCGTCTCCATCTTTCACTATGCCATAAGCAGAATCGAGCAGGTCAAGATAAGCTCTTGGGGGACAATAAGGACCTAATGACTTCACTACTGTAGCAGCTGGGGTTAAAAGACTGTCAACAATCTTCCTCACAAGTTGTCCTTTAGGGACAGACGGATCAGCTAGGTAAAACTCCACATTGTTTCGCCATGTGTCGTAATCAACCTCAGTGCTTGGACATGGAACTCTGCCCGAAAAAGTCCTCAGCTTCACTGAGTGTAGGTCTGAACGAAGGTCGGAGCTCTTCACTACATGCTCAACAATGAACCGTTGCATCTCAGGCGGGTTCAGGTGATCAGGCGCTGGCTTCAGTTGTGGAAGTGAGTCAGGTCGGCTAATGTCAGGGGTAATAGTTCTAGTGGGCTCTAGAGTGTGTGCATTTTCGGGTTCAGTACAAGGGGGAGTCTGTGCTGTTGGTTTATCACCTAAGTCAATTAGCTCTGTATCTTTAACGTTTTCAGCTGCTGGCATTGTCTGGCCAACAAGGTTAGAGATTCTGGCTAACTCATCTTGTAAGAGTGTTTCAAACGATTTCCCACTAAGTTTGGCAATGTCTCTAAGCTGAGTTAGGAATGACTCTGTTAAACCTGTACCTTTCTCTGATGAGTACACATTTGCAAGAGCATCAACATGGTGAACAATGTCAGTGTTACCGTCACAAACTCTGTCAAAAGGCAAAGAACCTTGGAGTGTTTCAACAGCTAATCCAGATTCAAATTCAAGAATGACTTGGTCGCTAGCATCAGGCACTTTGATTATTCTGGAAAATTTACCATATTGCTTCAAATATTCAAAAACCTCATTGTCAACCTCAGTTTCTGTTAAACCCCTTATAAGAAGAGAGTTAGGCACTTTCACTCTAGCTAGTGTAACAATTTCCATTGTAATCAAAACAAAACACAACACTTAAAGGCAATAGTCAAAAAGAGAAAAAATACAAAAAATTGTGGCGATTGCACTTAAAATAAACACTCCTGGCTGGCTCGCCAAGTTTTTACCGTGTAACCCACTACTGAGTATGTACACGTCACTGTTGGACCAGTTTCTAATAACTAGAAAACAAGAGACACTAAGCTCTGCAAGACAAGTGCAATTAAAAGACACCACACAAGGATATAAGGTTTTTCTTCTTTTAGTAATGAATTGAAAAGTTAGAACTGTTTACAAATGAAAATTAGACCTTTTTAAATAAAATAAAAAGTAAATTGTCCTTCAAAAAGATTGAGAAAATAGTCCTTTATCCAAAAGTGGAAAAATAAAGAGTTCCTTTAAGTTGTTGTTCAAAAAGAAAAAATAGTTCCTTTCAAATAGTTCCTTTCAAGTAGTTCAGTTAGTTCAGTTCAGAACAGTTCAATCCTTGGTTCAGTTGTAAAGTGTCAATTCAAGTAGTCAATAAGTCGAGTCAGTCATAGTCAGTATGATGTGACTCTAGTAGGCCACAATCCTACCAGATATGCCATGTGCAATGACATAGAACAGGATCACACTCAATGGTTGGGTTGGCTCGCCATCAGATGTAGTCGACGAATCCTCAGCGAAATCCAGATCCAGCTCAAAAACTTGACCGAGACGATTCAAACAAAAAGAAAAACATTCGATGAAACAAAGCTTCTGGTCTTCAAAACATACAGCAACATACAGCGCTGGTCACTCAATACTCCAAAAAGGAACTTATAGTTCAAAACAACTTAGAATTACTTTCTTTCAATAGTTTCTATCTCCGAGGAAAATGGATGCCTCTGCTCTCCGGCTCCCGCTAGCTCAAAAAACAGAACGGCTCCACAGGAAACCGTATGCCTGGAAAACGCACGTCAAAATAAAAGCACACATACGTAAGAGTCACAGTAAAAGTACTGCTATATCAAATACATGTAAATCATGTTTTTAACAATGACAACCCATCATTCATGAATTGTTTCATCAGAATTACACCTGTTTATTATCCCTTTTTACTATTTATGCTTTTTATCACTATTTATTGTACTTTCTTATTATGCATTTGTCACCTGGGTTACAAGAAGATGCTCAAACTTGTTGTAATAAATACATCTTTAATAGACAATAAATAAAGTCAATTCATATGAATAGTTAATACCTACAATCCTAATTTAAAATACAAATAAATCTGGTAAAAAGATGAAAATATGATAAAATGATAAAAAATTGTGTAATGTATACTGACTAAATATTTGTTTATCTTTCAATATATATCATTATTATTGCAATCACATGCCATCTATTTCTTTTCAGCCTCAGGAAAGAGGGCCATATTGCAAGCTGGGGGGTTAGCAGGTCTGAGGGGGGTTAGTAGTCTGGGTCATGGCGCTCTTAATCAATCAATCAATCAATCAAATTTTATTTATATAGCGCCAATTCACAACAGTCGTCATCTCAAGACGCTTTTCAAGGAACAAGAGCAGGTCTAGACCATGCTCATTGTTTGATGATCAAGAACCAACCTAAGATGGGTTTTGGCCCATCTCAACTAACATGAGTAGCGGTGGCAAGGAAAAACTTCCTTTTAACAGGCAGAAACCTTGGGCAGGACCCGACTCATGCCAGACAGCCACCATGCCGCTGCTGGGTTGGGGAGGAATGTAGAGAGAAGAGGGGAGAGGGGAGAGGGGAGAGGACAGGGGGAGAGAGAGAGAGAACAAGATAAGGGAAGGCGAGAGAGAATGAGTAAGGAGAGGGAGGGGGAGGGAGAGAGAGTAGAGAACGAGGGTGAGAGAGAGACAGGGGGCAGCAGAAACAACAGCAACAACAACAACAGCTCATGTAATGGTGAAACAAAAAAGAGTTCAGTTTATAGGGTTAGGGTATGAGTGATTATGGACAATGTTAAATTAATTGAGTGTGATTGCAGTTCGCAGGCCTAATCGTAGTCAGCTCTAGTTTATTTTATTAATGTCAATAATCTCAGTGAGGCTGATGTTCATGTCTGCAGTAACAGTCCAGAGGAATCCAAGAGAAGAAGGAGCTCAGGGCCTGAGGTGGACAATCATAGACAGTAGTCAACTCTAGTTTTATGTTATTAATGTCAGTGAGGCTGATGTTCATGTCTGCAGTAACAGTAACAGTAACAGTCCAGAGGAATCCAAGAGAAGAAGGAGCTCAGGACTTGAGGTGGACAATCATAGATGATGCGGCTAACAGTCCAGAGGAATCCAAGAGAAGAAGGAGCTCAGGGCCTGAGGCGGACAATCGTAGACGATGCGGCTAGAGTCAGGCAGGTCTGCAGCAGCCATCAGTCCGGAGCAACCAAGGGGCAGGGGGTGTCTGCAGCAACGGTCCAGAGGAGCCAAAGAGATGGAGGAGCTCAGGGCCCAGGGTGGACGGTCAGGGATAATGCAGCTGGGGTCAGGCAGTTCCGCAGCAGACCGTCTGCAGCATTAGTCCAGTGGAAGCTAAGAGACTCAGAGACACTCAGAGAGACAGAAAACTGGTTAGTGACTTATATGGGACATAAAGATCTAAAGAAGAGATAGAGACAGACTCTAGCTCAGTGTGCCAGATAGCCCCAGCAGTCTAGACCTATAGCAGCATAACTAAGAGCTGGTTCAAATCAGCCCTGACTATAAGCTTTATCAAAGAGGAACGTTTTAAGTCTACTCTTGAAAGTTGAGAGGGTGTCTGCCCCCTGA